GGGTATAAGTCACCGAAGAAGTCATTTCAATGCCAGGACAACTAGATTCACATGGAGGGCATGCAGCAAGAGCCCTTCACGTCTTACCCGCCTACTTGATCAAAATCACGGCTAAAGCCACCCTGTGCTGGCTTTCTCAAAGCAATGCAAATCTTATTAACAATTTCATTTCACATACTAGCATCATCGTCAGGATTATGACTTAAAATTAACACAGAGCATCTAGGCCTTAGCACTTGGATTTCCTAGGTCGTTAGATTGGTTGCATACAAATAAAATGACGACAGCCCACTCTGCTTTCCCCGACCCTAAATCTTGACGATGAAGGTCCTGTTACTTGAAATAAACCTGAAAGTGTTGAGTGGTGACATGGATGTCTTTGCCTGGGCAGCACCCGTTTCCGTGACTCTGGTATTAACATCTCCACTGTCACTGGAAACTGCATGCCTTGCTCCCAACCCACGAGCGGCAAGGAGAGGCCCTCCCCCGGGCAGCAATGACCCAGGCCTGCCATTTGGGGTGGCCGAAATGTCTGGTTGCAAGGTAGGCATTTAACCAATTCAGGGCAATGAGAATAAACCTGGGATTTTGCCAGAACAATGGGGAGAGAAAAGCTCTGTTGGGGTCGCTCGGCCAACAGATAAGTCTGGATATTACAAGATATTATTGAGAAGTTCGGACCTGCCTGGCGGTGACTTAGAGCCAACTGATGGTAAGAGCAGGGTTTCTGGCAGTGTCAGAGTCCTGCACCCAGCCACGCCTCTTCCTTCCCAGTTACATGGACCAGAGTGACTTTTTTCTAAGCCCCTCTGAACTGGGTTTCTATCGTTTACAACCTGAAACAAAAAGATTATACAAAGCATAGACTCTTTTGAGGTAAAGATAACAAGAATGTTTATCAAAGTGTAAAATGAGTTTGTTCCAGAGATGTTAACTTTCTGCCATGAGCCATTTCCCATACCAGTGTGAAATGCCCCATCCACCACCTCCTGGTTCCAGGGAGCCTGTGGACCTCGAACTAACAGTCACCCAATGGGCCCAGTGCAGCCTAATGGGTCTGGCGGACCATCCAAGGCCCAGGTGTAAGATGAAGGAAAGACGACAGGGGAGGAAGAGAGCTGCGCGTGGAGAGAGGCCATGTGACGTGCAGGAAGGAGCTGGCTCCGTTCTCGGTGTCCTGCTCCTGCTGCATTTTGACTCAGGTCATGGAGCCCTTCTGGGGCAGAAACCACAGCTCCCCGGGGACAGCTGTGAGTCCTGACTCCGCTTACACTCACGAACCTGAGGCGCATTCTCTACAACTGAGGGTGATAACGTAATGGGGCCGAGGGTATTTCCTGGGCACATTCACCCCAAGGAGCGCCTGGCACACAGTGACGAAGGAGCTGATGGTCGCAGTCACTGTTGCCATGCTCCTCTTTTACCTCAACTCATTTGAGTAACATCCTAATCTTTGACCTCCGAGAGGGCCTGAGCTACAGCAGCAATTTACAAAACTCTTAACTCTCAATATATTTCACCCACCACTCCAAAACTCCTCATGTACGGGTTCAGGTACCATGCAGAACCCTCCTTAGCAAGAGAAACCTCAGCCATGGGTGGCTCATGAAGTGTCCCCGTGTGTTCACAGGGGACAGCATCACACCCCACCTGTGTCCTGATCCTCTGGTGTCCCGCACAGCCCCTCAGGACTGTGACTCCATATCCAGGCAGACACAGCACCAGGCAGCTGCTAGGGGCCTGGCCTCCACGCCGGGGGCAGCCAGCACTGCTCTTGGCAGGAGGGGCCCCACGTGTCTCACACACACGCACACACACATGCACTCTACACAAGATGCACATTGGGCCGGGGGTCTAGCTCAGTAGTTCTGCCACCTGCCTCACAAGCCCAAGGTCCTGAGTTCGATTCCCAGTACCAAAAAAAAAAAAAAAGATGCAGATGCCCTGGAACTGGCACTTTCCGTAGCCCACCCAGTCTTTTGGGATAAAGAAACAGGGCGGGCAAATCCAGAACCTTCTCTCGTTCCTCCAACTGCTGTATTAGGACGACTTCCTGTTTCAGGGGCCCCCACCTCTTCCAAGGGAGGAAAAATTCACGCAGAGGCTGAGTGCTTCTCTGTCCCCTTCTGTGAAAACCACACAAGCAGATGTACAGACTTCATCCCTTTCCAAACAAGCACGATTTAATCATTCTGAATAGCTGAGCTATGCCTTCTAGCCCCCTTATAATAATTAATATTTTACCAAAGAAAGATGATACAAATCAACTTGTAAAACAAACCCTTTATTTTAAAAGTTTTCTATTTCTATAGGAAGAACAGAAAGTAAAGAAAAAAAAATCACAGAAATATTCTCCAACTCTGTTGCCCGAAGTGCATTAGGATTGAGAGGCTACGCTGGGTGTAGCCCAGTGGTCAGTGCTTACCTCACCTGCACAAGGCCTGGCTTCCATCCCAGCACTGAGGGGAGGGCGGGGGTGGTACAATGGTCCTTAGAAAAGAACAGAAGTTTGCTTTTTTTTTTAAGGAAAAAAAGAAAAGCGGCTCCACAAAGCGGTGATCTATGTGATTTTGTGCTCTATGCTAAAAGGTAACCATCAAGGGATTAAATCCGTACTCTCCCCTCGGGTAAACGCAGGATGTAAATCTTGTAGTACAATTATTACTCTTAAAACCCGAGAATTCAAGTATCATTCCAGCTGTAGGGGACTCGGCACACACACAGGGCACAGCCCACCGACAGGAGCTGGGCGGAGGAGGTGGGAAAGGAGCGGGGCGAGGGAGGAGGAGGGGCGACGCTCCCCGGAAGGAGGCTGCCCGGTTCTGAGCTCTGAGCTCTGTGTCCTCTGAGCCAGAGGATTGATTCACAAGCCCACCGAGTTCTAAACTTCTCTAGGGGAAGTGGGAGGGGTAGGGGAGAGGAAATAAGGGGGAAAAAAACACGAAAAAGTGAAGAGATGGAAATAAGGTATTTGTAAATAGGGAAGGGAGGAGGGGGTGAAGGGGAAAAAAAGAGAACCAAGACCTGTCATGTAAAGGTACAAGATCCCAATGATGAATGTAACTGTACTGTATACCTAAAATGCACCGATAAACTCAATGAGAAAAAAATTTTTTTTTTTAAATTCTAAACTTCTCCGCAGCCTGGAGGCTGAGTTTAGAATCCACCCTCCCCACCCATGCCACACCGACTTCTGTCACCCGCCCAGAGATAAGGTGGTGTTCCACCGGGAGAGCCAGAGGGTCACCTGGCTCTGTCCCCAGGACCTGCACAGGCCAGCTATGGCTGGCTACCTGTCTTTATGGAAATGCAGTTACAATTCCAAATAAGACAGTGTCTCAGTGCCTCGCTGGACATGGCCGTCCCCGTCCCCAGACGCCAGTGGTGGCCCAGGCCTGCCCTCCACTCACCCCCTCACACGGACCTGAGTGGCACGGGTGGGGCAGGAAGGGTCCATGCCCACATGGCCCCCAGTGGAGGAGCAGCCTGCAGGAACTGGAGACCAGCAGGCTGGTCCCCAGGGCCCAGAGCACAGGACAGGGGAGGCGGGGGCCTGCTGAGGCCGGATGGCCTGCGCTCTTAGCTTTCCTTTCCACCAAGGTTGCTAAGTGCTTGCTATACATGAGGCAAAAGTAAACAGTCACCCAGCACCGTTTTGGGACGTGCAAAAGCATACCCATCAGCCAAGGGGGAAACACTCTCAGAGTCTCTAGGTTTAAGTTTAGATTCTGGTTGACCAAATAAGAAACCTAAATGTCCAAAGGAAGAGAAGTGCAGCCAAGAAGTGGGTTAGCCGCCAAAGACAGGGACACCAAGACCCCACGGCCGTGGGAACTCATAAAGCACGCAGCAGCCAGCCAAGGCCCAGGTGTGGGTACCTGGGAGTGGGCTTGGAACTGGAGAAGCACTCAGTGCACTCACAGGGAAACCGCGCCCTGCAGGTGGGCCCAAGGTCAGGAAAAGTCAGGAGTGCGGGCCTTAAGGAAAGGAGCACGCTTTAGTCACCTTGCATTTCCCACAATGCCCAGCACAGTGCTCTGGACTGAGCAGATACACAATAGCTGTTGTTCAGTAATAGTAACAATAATGGTGAGGAAAAACCTTCATTTCTAGGTACAGTTCCTAAGGGTATCTACATCGTGATCACAGTAGCCAACCACAGCTGAAGTTTCACAGACCAATTTATCGCTCACTAAGGAGATCAGAGGGCTAGAACAACGTAAAATGCTACAAATGACACAGTATTGGTATGATGAATATGATGTAAATAAATGATAACCATGAGATTAGAAAGTAGGAATGGCCCTGGGTGACTCACCAAGCTTTTCTCTGCGGTGGAATGAGATGCCTGTAGTCTCTGCAGCAATGAAGCCCTGTGCTCCAGACCCACTGCACCATGGGGTCGGGACAGACAAAGACCCCAGGCCCGAGGAGACGTAACCACCTAACTCCAGTAGTTGCCGTGACTCCCTTCCCTTAGGAAAAGCCCCTCTAGTCACAGAACTCCATGTCCTTAGTGGAAAATAAACACACACAGGGAAGAGATGCCACTGGCTTTGTAGAAATGGGAAGGTTTTCCAGCACCAGTCAGTAAAAGCTGATGGGACAATTAGCCAAAGAAGAAAATAATCAGTTTGGATTCTCATTTCGTCTTCACTCTACACCAAAATATATTGTACAGTTGTATCAAATGGTATCTTTAATTGACTTTTTTAAAAAAGCAGACAACAGGGCTGAGAATTTATCAAGTTGTGAAGGGCCGGCAGGCTGACCTCTCGGGGTAAGAAACGACGGGGACACCCATCCACTCAATAGGGCCAGACTGTGTCACATGGCCAGGATGTTCCCTGGGGAAACATTTGCAGCATAGCGGTCAAAAATATTTTATTGTATGTTATGAAGATTGTTATGGTTTGTGTCTGTGTCCCCCCAAAGCCTCGTGCGGTCACAGGTGGAGCTTTTCCAGAGATGGCTGAATCTAGAGTGTGTGGTGCTGGGATTAAGGCTGTGTGATCACTAACTCAGTCCACTCGCTGCTCTGGTATCCGCCCCATGCCAGGCAGCCTAGATAGAGCACAAAGGGGGCAGGAAAAAGCTCGTAAGGCCCTTTGCTTGCTTTGTTACCTTCTGCCCACGGTGAACTGTTTCTCCTCTGCGATGCTCGTCTGCCATCCGCCCCACCTTGCAGCCAGCCCATTACGGACTGAAACCTCTGCAAATGTGAGCTAAACAAACTTTGTCCCCATTAACTTTGGGTGTTGGATATTTTGCCTTAGCAATGACAGAAAGTAACTAAGACAAGATCTTATGTTCGTGACATATATTTCAAGCAAAAAACCAAAGCAAGTTGCAGAATAATATGTCTCTGTTTGGTAATAAAACCCTTTATATCATTAAACCATAACCATTCAAAGGAATAAATATGAGAAAAGGAAAAAACGGAAACAAAGTCTTTGTAAATAGGGTGGGGGCTTGAAGGGAGGGCAGGGGAATGGGGAAAAACATAAGAGCCAAGATACATGATGTAAAGGTACAAGATCCCAATGACTAACATCAGCACATTATATACCTAAAATGTACTGATAAAATTAATGAATTAAAAGAAAAACCATGGTCATCCTCAGAATGCACAGGATATGGGTTCCAGGACCCTATGAGCTCCCAGATCCAGATACCCACAAACCTCATACAAAATGGTGTAGTGCGGGCATATAACACACACACACACATCCTCCAATATACTCTAAATCGCCTCTGGATTATTTGTAATACATAATGCAATGTGAAACACATGCTATATAGATTTTACACACACACACACATCCTCCAATATACTCTAAATCGCCTCTGGATTATTTGTAATACATAATGAATGCAATGTGAAACACATGCTATATAGATTGCTGGTTTGATGCATTGTTTACAGAGAATAATGACAAGAAAAATGTGCATGTCCAGTACCAATGCAACTTCATTTTTTGATGATTTCTGGCCCAAATTTCCTTGAGTCCATAGACACTAACCCACAGATACAGTAAGGCAACCACTTTCTATACACAAATAGGGAAAAAAAGAGAAACACATTGAGTCTTTACTGTCGCCTCTCTGAGAGGAAAGCTTGTTCTCTGTGTATCTGGGTCCTGAATTGCTCCTCTTGGTATTACAAACACACAGTACTTTTATAATTTGAGGAAAAAACTAATTTTAAGTAGTGTGAATGACCTCTATACAAAATGAACATGGAACTGAAAATTAAGAAAAAATAACACAACTATGTTGTACAGTATAACAATATGAAAAAGAAAAGTCCAGCCTCAGTAGCAGTCATAGAAATACAAATTAAAAGAAAGTATTTTTGGTTATCGAACTAGGAAAACTATTTCAAAGTGATAATAGTGAAGCCAAGAGAAAAGAAAATGAGATCAACACAACCACACAACATGAATTGTTCTAACCCACTTGGAAAGCAAATTAGAAAAATATGCTAGGGTTTCTTTTTAATGTTCAAACTTTCAACCTATTAAATCCATTGGGAAAATGTTCTTGTAAAAAAATGATAATGCAATTTTTTTTTTAATTTTGACCAAATGATCAAAAAAGGAAAGAGTAGTAAACGGAGGTATATCCATTCAATGGAATGTTATCTACGCAATAAAGATTACAAAATAAAATGACAAGTGCTTGTGGCACACAGTTCCATGGAAAATAATTCTAAAATATGTATAGATATGACTATGTAACTACAAAAAAAAATGAAGTATTCCTGGTTACCTTTAAATATTTGGATTATGGGTTATTTTCTCCCTTCTTTCTAATTTTCTATACAGTGATGATTTTATCTTATGGTAATAATTCTAACTGTGGGGGCAACAGTACAGAGGAAACAGTGCTTTCAATGACTTCCTGTTGCTTCCCAACCAACTTTAGAGGCCAGGACAGACTTCAGGCTCACACGGATGGTCCTCTGGGACCGAGTGGAAGGTCGAAATCCATGGGGTGGGGACTCAGCACCAAAGGCTCCCCATCCCCAGCCACCACTTCCAACAAGAGAGCACCCTCTGTCCACCCCTTGAGAACTCAGGCTGCATGTGTAAAGAGACACTCGGATGTGCACGTGTGCACACACATGTGTGTTGCTTCCTCCTCCTCCCCTTCCTCCGGGACAGCAAGACAAACTCAAGGGCAATGATCTAGTAATCTGTCCCTAAAAACCAGAATAACAGCCCAAAAGCACGAGCGCCCAAAGGAACTCAGCCAAGACAACATTCTAATACCAAAAATTGCAGTGAACACCCACTGATGTCCATCTCTCCTCCCAAACTTGCCATGTAACCCGGTTCACTGCCTCAGACCCCTCCCTGCAATCTTTTCTGCCCCTTCCTTCATATTGAATTGGCTACTTCAAGAGCACACGACAGCCAGATGAACATTCTAGATCCTTCATGCAATCCTACAGACCCATATGCATCACATAAACACATAAATTTTACAAAAATCTTTATGTAAAAATAACAGAAGTAAATATCCCAAATATTAACTCTGGCTGCCCTTAAACATCTGAATTATGCACAATAACCATAGCAGTCATACTGGTAAAATACATCCCAGGATATTCACCATTGGAAAAAAAAATTCTCTGCAATGTTTCTAACAGCAGAGGTGTTTAGCAAAGAAAAAGCACCCTCTAATTTATCTCTTTATAAAAGCCAAGTGTCTGTGACTGCATATAAAATTCTCTCCCAAAAGACAGGGCACAAAGGCCCCTCTGGCCTGGAAGAGCCGGGGCCATGCCTGTCGCTGCAGACGAAAGCTCCAGAGAGAAACCAGGCTAAGCCAGCCCCGGAGGGAACACGTTCTCCCCATGGCAGAACTGCAGACTGCCTGCACATTCCTTCCTTCGTTTACCAAAAATATCCCTTGCCTCGGCTTGGTTTGGACAACCTGTGAAAAAAACAACCGTTACCCACCCAGCAAAGGAAAAGACCATCCATGCACAATTCGCGTTCTGAACGAAGGAGGCGCGGAGTGACTCGATTTTCAAACAGCGAACTGATTCCCAAACTGGAAGTACAGGAAGGAAGCTATACATGGCCTTCAGATAATGGAAACAGAAAACGATAAACCAATTAAATAGTCTGGTAGCAAAAAAAAAAGGTATAGAGGGCCTAAAAATAGTTCCCAGCTTATCTCTGCTTTAATAGCAGATCAGCACACATTCTCTTGGAAATGTTACTCAGGCAACCAGACTACAAAGATACTTGGAAAACTGTATATATATAAATCTATTTTTGCCGTGATCACTACTAAAAGAAAAACATTAATCAGGAGGCTGTATTAGGAGAAACAGGCAGGAACAAAAGAAACTTTTGTCAGTGAAGGAATCCGGCGGCCGCCATCTGATCAGAGGCCCCCTCAGCCACCCCTGGGGACTCAGCACCACCCGAGGGCCCTGCTAAGACAGCAGCACTGCTCCCTGCGCTTCCCCAAGCCGCGTCCTTGGGCCTCGTTCTGGGCAGGGAGCCGCAGCCCCTCTCCCCCCACAGCCCCACAGAAGGTCCCACAGCCTGTGGAGAGCAGCTGGTCCAGGCTCTGGCGCCAGAGCGACCCTCTCGCGTTTGTTCTGCAATAAACCTGCCCTGCCAAGCTCAGACCTGTTTCCTCTTTCCCTTTTCCTAACAGGTACTGAGTGTGCTTTACTAAGTTGTACAACATCAGCCATCTGTGTAACAGGCCAGGCCCACTGCCTCAAATCAAACTCAGGCCCACAACCAAGTCGGTGTGTCAAAAGCATATTTCTTTCTCTATTTATCAAATCTCCTAAGCCAAAGGCAGTTCATACAGCAACAAATGGCAGACTGGCAAGTTTTAAAAACATATTTGGGCTGAGCGTGGTGGTGAGCACCTGTAATCCCACTGCTTGGGAAGCTGAGGCAAGAGGATTGCCATAAGTTGGAGGCCAGCCTGGGCTACACAGCCCCACTGCGCTCAGGCAGCAGGCAAGAAGACAGACAGACGGATGGACACCTCCCTCCCTGCTCTGCTCCTGCTGTTCCTCCGCCTGTGTCTCCTGCTGGACGGCGGGGGCCAAGTCCACCAGAATCAGAAGACAGAGCGGCCGCTGCTCCAGCATGGACAGGGCAGAGGTGCCCCTCGGGTGCTGGCCACGGGGTCACTGTTGTCCCCCACTGTTGTCCCCCACTGTTGTCCCCCCTCCAGCTGGCAGCAAAGTCAGCCCAGTCGCTCTTTGGGGAGTGAGAAGGAGCCCAAAGAAGGTGGTGCCCTGGGCAGGAAGGAGTCACTGCAGCTCAGGAGGCCGGCAGCGTCACGTGCCATGATTACAAGTGCCCAGCTCAGGACTTCTCCGAGGCCGTGAGCCCCCAGTTGATGTGGATGGACCTCTAGGAGAAGCATTTCCCACAGCTGGCAAAACCACACAGCAGATACAGGGCTAAGGGACTTGAAGGGAACAAAGACACAGCAGAACATGCAAGGCCACAGAAACAGCGGCTTTGTACCTTTTCAAAGTGGCTGAGCAACCAAATCCAGCCCCCCGCTAGAGAGAAACAGATCATAATGAGAATAGCTTTTCCATCGAGAGGAGAACAGGCCAGAGCTCTTCCCGAGGAATGTGACCAACCACCAGCGGGAGTCCACGCCCTGAATCGGACTCTCCTGCCGCACCCGTTCAGTGGCTTAGCCAGGGAACCCACACTGCACCCCTTCCCTCCCCTGTGTTCCCCAAGTCCACAGACCCCAGCTTGGACTTGCATTGCAAACACAAGGGTAAAAGTCTCACCATTGGCCAGAAGCATTTGCAAACAGAATTCCCAAGTCCTGCATTAGACATGGACTCCTAAAATGTCAAAATCCGTGGGGTGAGGGAACCTACCATCTGGGTCCAGCCAGACACGTGAAGGAAACGCCCTACTTCGGTTATCTACTGCCTTCTATCCCAGCTCCGTCAGCCAGCTTCCAACCTTCAGGAGGTCCCGCGACCTAAAAGCCCGGAAACCCGAGCCTTCACTGCCTCTGCTTCCTTTCAGGAAGACTCCAACATCCACAGCCTCCCTCCGAGGAGCTGTACTCCTGCCAGCTTGGGGACGCTGATGGCAGAAGCAGACTCCGTCCCAGTGGGGTCCCCTAAACCTCATCCCATCCCACCATCCCCAGTTACCCCCTTCCCAGAGCATCCCCTGCCCTCTGCTATGACCCCAGGCTTTACCAGAACCAGTGGTGTCAGGGCCCAGAGCCCTGTGGGTATCTGGCACCATTGGCAGAGGCGGCAGCAGCCGCATATGAGGGGCCCACGTGACCCCCACTATCACAGTCACTGCTCCGGCCACACCCAGCACCACGCAGCGAGGGGAACAACCTCACGTGTTGGGCTGTTCCGATGTGGTGAGCGCTACTGGGTTCTCGCTCTGGAAATGGAAAATAACTCCCAACCCAGCACTTGGTCCTCCTCTCCTCACCCTCTATGACCTCAGGAAGCTTCTAATCATGCAGCCACCACGCATCACACACACAGCAGCTCCCGCAGCCCAGACGGAGCTCACAGCCTACCACCTTCCCCCACAAGTCGGATCCAGCCCACCTTCCTAACAAATGTTCACTGGGACGTGGAGAGCCTGGAATCCCCGCAGGTGGATGGTGGCTGCGTACACTTTGGAGTATAAATCCAAAAGAACTGAAAGCAGAAACTGACATCAGTACATATCCATACACTCACGTTCCTAGCAGCACTGCCGACAATAGCCAAAAGATAGAAGTAACCCGGTGTCCACTGACCAATGACAAGACAAACTATGGCAGCCACTCACCGTAGAGTATTACTAGGCCTTGAAAAAGAAGGAAATCCTAGCATGAGCTGCAACATGGATGGTCCATAAGGACATCGTGTTAAAGGAAAAAAGCCAGTCACAATAAAGATAAAGCCTGTGAGACTGCATTTCTCTGGGGTGCAGGGAGTAGGCGGGTGACCAGAGACAGAGGGCAGGATGCTGGTCATCAGGAGCCGGGACTGCGGCTGGGGTAGTGTTGCTGGGTGTGGATTTCAGCAGTGAAGAGGAAGACATTCCGGAGATGGTTGCACACGAATGTGGGACACTTTAGCACTACACAACTCTACTCTTAAAATGGCTCAAAAGGACAGTGTTTTGCGTCTTTAAACACAGCTTTAAATGCATTCAAGAAATATGCATTTCTTGCCTAGGGGACGAGGGCAGTGAGCAACACGGAAGGGCACTGCGCCCAAAGCGAGGGTTCCTGCTCACTCTGCACCTCGTCCTCTCAGCCCACGGCCCACGAACCGGAAACAAGGCTGAGGGTGTGGACAAAGCTCCAAACCCCTGAAGAGCCGAGTCCAAGTCCACCAGGTGAGGCGGGTCCTCTTCTCCCTCGAGTCCTCTAGCCGGGCGATCTTTCAGATTTCTCCAAGTTACTTGGCTGTATTTCCAGGAACAGAGAGACTCAAGACACTGACCACAGGTAATTCTCCTAAGTGCGCAAGCTGTGAGTCTCCGGTCAGAACTGGTCTGCTGTCCCAGCGGGGCCACCTGCACACTGCTAAGCTGTCCTCACCATCTCACCCACTGGGAAGGGGACACTCGCGGAACACAGAGGAGGACACCTGGTGTTCTGCAGTCCAGCAGCCGGGGGGCCATCTCCTGGGGCAGTGTCACGATGTCCTGCGAGAGAAACCCCCACTCCCATCTCCAACCCTGAAGCTCAGGGACGGGACATGTGACTGAGCCCAAGCCAGCAAGATCCATTTGGGGGTTTCTGGCACAACTACTCACGCTTCCCGGCTGCGTGACGTGAGTGGCCATCCTCCACCTCAGTCTTCTGCCACGGTTCTGCCCCACCACGCCACCCAATGAGATGGACTAAACCCTTGAAACCAAGGGCCAAAATGGGCCTTTCTTCCTCGGAGCTGTTGTTCTCAAATATCTGGTCATAGCAACAAAAAGTGGCTGACACAAATCCTAATAAAAATAAGCATCTCCTGCAAAAGTGACTGCAAAATCTATGCCACCTGCTTCCAATCCCTTTGCCTGCCAGACATCACAAATGGACTACCGTGCTGCCTCCCACTCAGCCTGGATTCCAGTTCACCCCAGCTCTCAGGCAGCCCCTGGCAATCAATCAGCAATGACTCTATTTGTCTGCTTCCAATGTAGCAGCTGGCAAGGTTCTTCCACAAAGAGCTAGGTAGAGTTTTAGGCACACTCTGTTGCATTCTTTGGTTTGTTTGCAACCCTTTAAAAATGTGCAAAGCGTTCTTTTCTCTCTGAGCTGTATAAAAGCCCATGCTCTCAAGTCTTGAGATCAGATTCTGAGCTGCCTTGGGGAACCCAGCCCCTCCATATCCTCCTTACCAGCCCCTGGGGCCCAGTGGTGAGCACTGAATTGCCTGGGAAGGAAGCAGAAGCCTTGGTTCCTGATCTCATCAGGTCAGTCCTAGGCAGCTGGCACCCACCCTCCCAGGGGAGCTGTACCAAGCTGTGCCTTCCTCCCTCTGGCCGAAGAACCAGCCTCCCTGCACCCCACCACCAGGTTCTAAGAGAAGCACGGAAACAGAAGGTTCAGGCCAGTACATTCCTCCACTGTTAATCTACCCTTTGTGATGAAAAGAAGCCTCTGAGCCCAGCTTTGCATGCCTCACGTCTTCTGACTGGCCCTTGGCTGGCTCCTGAGTACTCGCCCAAGTTCCCATCTAGAGGATTAGATGTGAAGTTGTGTGTCCTCTTCTCCGCTGTCTCCCAGTGCTGAGACCCAGGCCCCTATCAGGCTGAGCTCCAGGAGGCTGAGGTGGGCAGTCCTGGTGCCTGGACCCCATCCTGAAATCCACCGGGGACCTGTGCAGGACCGTGACCAGTGCACGAGCTGGCTCAGTGTCACTGTCCACAGTGTGGGACGCGAAGACCGAGCCTGGGTGCCAAGAGCCCAGCTCGAAGGCCAGCAATGGCACAGGGAGAAGTGCCTGGCTGTGAACAAATCACTGACACAAACAAGCTCCTGTCCTCGTGCACAGACAGTGAACAGAGAAGATGTAAGGAGGCGCCAGGGCTTCAGGCCAGCAGCTGGGCTTGCAGAGGCTCTGGGTATCCACAACGCCGGCTCCCACCGCGGGTGTAGACCGGGTCCTGGGCACTGACTGTGAGAACACGAGGCTCCGCAGCCACTTCCCGTGTTCGGGTGGTGCCTGGACATTGGCCCCATTTCTCCCGCCTCGTCCTGAGCTTGCGCGCGCACACACACACACACACACACACAC